AAAATTGGATTCGGCCAAAGGTGGTTGCCAAATTTCAGAAATACCTGTTGGTTTGCTTCGATTCGGACTGACAGCACAAAATGCTGTTGAAAACTAGATCTGAGATGGGAAGCAGTTCAGGCAAAAAATCAGCAATATCGGCCCGGTAAATGTTACATTAGCGAACGTAAATTGGATCAACACCGGCTTTCCACCAGTTGCATTTCGACGTTTATGCACATTTAAGAATCGTTAGCCTGCGAACACCTTTGTGAGTGTTTACTGAAGAACACGAGCGTCACGCTTGAGCTGAGTTTACGCTTTTTCTGCAGTTACAGCTAGTCTTCCTTCCGGAATCCTTTGCACTTCACTGACAGCTGTCGTGCCGGGCAAGGATTTTAACAGCGATTTTCTTCATCTTTCGTATGACGTTCCACAGCGAATCACTGTTCAAGCTTTTTGACTTGAAACCACCTGAAGGAGGCTTCTGAAGCTTGCGTACCTCTGCAATGTCTGTATTTAGTTTCCGCGGTAAGATGATCCATGTTTGACTCCATTTGTTCAGATTGTACGCGCATCTCCCCGTCATTTAATGCCGAGCCGACTCATATGTTCCGCTGCATATCGCGAAATCATGCAGGTTGGCTGTAGGGTCCGAAAATGATTGTAGAAAGAACCTCTGATTTACGCCCATCAAATTCGGACTGATTTCCTTTAACTCGAGTGATATCCTACACCGACTCCTGCTGTTGTTTGTCATTCGGTGAGCAGTGGTCAGAAATTGTACCTTACTGTTTTCACCGCCGGATGGTCGTGTCTTCTGAGACGTAGTAGCTCTGGTAAAGTATCATCGGTGTAGCAGCTGAGTAATTTTGCTACTTTTCGGCAAGTAAACGAAAATGTCAAACACCATATCAGAAAACAGGTGTTTCATAGTAATTTTATCTACTGTCGTGTGGAAGCAAGATCAAGTGGAGGATGAACAGGAAGATATAATCCGTTTCTTTCGTTCTTGACAGCTGGCACTGATCAGATTACAAGATGTTATGCTGAGTAGAAACACAACGGAGTGCGTTCCATCTTATCACTACGGTAGCTTCAAAGGCTATCATTAACTCTTGGATGCTCGAATGACGAGACAGGGTTAGGAACCGCGGAGAGTACCCTTAATTCTTTAAAGAAAACCGCCTGAAAGAAGGATCTATCTATTGCAGACTCAGATCCGAACAACGAGATTAAGCACTGTCTTAAGTGCTGATGCCTCTTAACCTCACGCTGCTCATATTGATCACCTCTATATTAGCCATCAACGATGGCGTGTTTCTCAGCTACTGTTTCCTATGATCGACTGGTAGAACCGATTCACGGTTCAACTCTTTGCTCGAACATACTTTCTATTTTGACGGTCATGTGAGCAAACTCCTAACTTAGGCGCGTAATGTCACTGTTCATTGAATAGTACTAAATATTAATAACACAGTCAAATGCAAGTCACATAATACCTTGGCAAAAACATCATTCAGGCTCACCTCTATGATTTGTGTGAAGCCGTCATTTTGGGAATCACTCAATGTTATCTATTTGCGGGAGTTGCTTCCTTAAAGTTGTTTAGGAGAATTTTTTAATTTATTAAGTTATTTAATAAACTTGTAAATGCTGTTTTGATCATTTTCTCGGTCTCGAAGTATGTTTAAGGTATTCCATTCACTTCACCCACGCTTGATTATTAAAGTAGCATTTTGATTTGAGTTTAATTCGGAACAGGATATTGCTCTAAGAATTTTAATGGACCCTGGACGCGAGTCCAATGATACTGTGTAAACTCTAGCCGAGCCCAATACCACCTGTAGGTGCAAAAATTGCCATGGAGTCGTTACTTCCTTTAATATATACGCTATGTCTCCAGCGGCAAAGCGTAGTGCATCGATCTTGCGCTATAATGCCTATAGATTTTTCTAATTTTCCGTTGCACAACATCCTCTGGTTGGACTTATTAATCATGATTTATTTGCTGCCCTTCATCACTTTCATTTTTAATACATATGAAATTTCATGGCTGAAGTTTTCTGGTGATACTGATTGATCTGGAATCTTCTCATTTTCGTATCAAGTCGGTTTATCAACAAGAGGCAGAACTTTTCTAGAGACTGCTCAGAAATAAACAAGATTAGTATAGTCATCTGTTAATGAGTCATTAAGACATTGAATTGGAACCTGGAATGTTTTTCTACATGTTTGGCATTACTGTAGATAGTGGAAATGCCGAATGTACTGCCAGTAGCGGCTTAACCCGTTTTCTGGTTTTTTCAAATTTATCATTTGTCTATGAGGTTATTGTTGCCATTGACCTTTGCCATGCTTAATGATCCATGAGTTGCTTGGCTTTAAGGTAAATATTTTCTTAGTCCCATATTTCATTCACCTCTTTATTGACGTATATGTGGTGATTTGCATGACCCGTGTTAGTAATCATAGTTTTCGTAATTAAGAACATTTGCACAACGGATCACAACAGATCTGTGTTTATGTGACTGTTCAGTAAACTGAAACGGCATTAATCAGGTAATGCAAATATTAGTAGATGACAGAAACGGTTCGAACCATGGGAACCATTTCTTTAGGTTGCCAACCTTTCTAAATCCTGAAGTTGGTTCCTTTCTCAACGTTCAACTGTAATCTGTGTAACAGAATTCCGCAATTAATGTGTTCTAGCGAAGTAATACATTAAAAGACAGCAAAATGGGCAGAAGAAAAACGTAATAAATGAAAGATAAAATATAGTAGAAAAGGGTAAACGAATAAACATGATAAATAGATCAGTTATTTATCAAAATGTACGTATTTTTTAAAATTTGTTTACGCTTTTGCTGAATTTTAGTCAAGGGAGTGAAGGCGAGTTGCAGTCGGAAGGCACATGCACCAGACGATATGGCTCTATGTTTTGTACGCTTTAGCATAACCACATCAAAGCATCATGCTGTCTCTACTATTCGCGGGTCGGCGATTTTCTACCCGTACACTGCGGTGAATTCCCTTTGCTCTAGGGAATTAGCAGTTAACAAGAAAAATTTACCCGCTGGCCGGGGTTGGAACTTGACACCTCTAACGTTAAAATCAATCTATTACCTCAACCCATTGCTTCACTGTCCCCTCACTCCATAAATTATTTAGTATGCATGGAAAATAACGTTTCCTCGTTGACTCCGTCCTCACCACAGGCTCTGATGATAGCAAATTAGCGTAGCACGAGATCAGCAATCGTTTTACCGTGGTGTACTATCGTCGCTTGACTGCGATCATTCGTGTGCAGGTTTTTGTTGGCACTGTTCACAACTGCAGAATGCGCCTTCTGTACATGATCGGAAACGTATGTGCTCCTCAATAGGAGTTTGATCCTCTTTTGCGTCATTCCTATGTAAATCTTCTAGCAATTTTAATAATTCATCTGATCAACAGTAACTTTCTCAGCTCGGTTTGGAGTTCATACGTATGTTCATATAAGATGTTGTTGAGAGTGTTCGTTTCCTGCAGAATATTTTGAATCCATTGTTGCCAAATTATTCACTGGGGGGTCTGAATTCATTTTTTTAGATGATGCCGCAGCTGTATTGAAGGGAAGATTCTAGCTAGTTGGAAAACTAGGATTAAAAAGTTATTTACAATAATAATAGAATAATGATTATATACATGACGAATTCGGAATTAATTTGATAGGACTGGCAGTTGGCAGTTAATCATTGCTCTAAATCATTATTATTGGTCACAACAAACAAATCCCGAAATTGCGTCTGGATATTGACGGTTAAATGAACGTCATGCCTGCCGGTAGTGCAAAGAAAGCGTTCTTTTCTTAGTAGTGGAGGGT